TTCCTGGAGCTCACTTGGTAGCCCAGGCTGGCCTCGAACTCACAGAGATCCACCTGGCTCTGCCTCCCGAGTGCTGGGATTAAAGGCGTGCGCCACCACGCCCGGCTCCATTGATATCTCTTAACAGGCTGAGAATTGTTATAAGTAGGCACCATGAAGGCAAATTTTTCTTGTAAAGGTATAGTGAAGAAACAATCTTTTAAATTGATAACTATAAGAGGCCATTCTTTATGTAACAGAGGAAGCAAAGGAATTACAGACTGTAGAGAGACCATTGGCTGAATCACCTTATTAAAAACTTTTATTAAAATTTTTTCCAATTTTTTTCTTTTGGTCTTTTGAGACAGGGTTTCTCTGTATAGCTTTGCACCTTTCCTGGAACTCTGTAGCCCAGGTGGGCCTCGAACTCACAGAGATCCACCTGCCTCTGCCTACCAAGTGCTGGGATTAAAGGCGTGCACCACCACCACCACCACCCGGCTCCAGATTTCATTTTAACAACAAATACAGAAGAATTCCAAGGGCTGGTTGATTCTTCAACATACTGACCACTTTGTTACTAGTGTATTAGCTATTCTAAGGCCTGCAGTTTCTCTGATATTAAAGGTCATTGCTCAACCTGTACAGGTTTGTCTGTTAACCATTTTAAAGGTATGGCTGTTGGTGCCTTTGAAAGATCAGCAGCTGTTGTGTCCTGTTCTTGTACGACATGAATGGTCAGTGATTGTTCTTTATAATACCTTCTATTATTTTCCCCAGAAACATACAATAATTGATGATTTGTTTCTCAGATTGGAGGAATGTTAATCTGAGTATTCCATTCCTGTAACAAATCACGTTTCCATAAATTCATTGCTATATTGGCCACATATGGCTTTAATTTTCCTCTCTGTCCTTCTGGGCCTATACATTCAACCCATCTTGGTCTCTGTTTTACCTGAGATAACATTCTAAACCCTAAAAGATGAACATTTACCTTCTGAAGAGGCCAATTTGGATGCCAAGCTTCTGGTGCAATTTTGTTACATCCATACCTATGTCTACAAGACCTTCAATGACAATGTCATTTATTTATATTTTCA